TCCACTGGGGTTTCTAAAGCAGAGACTGGTGAAAAGATCTTGGCATGTGATCATAGTTATTGATTGACCAGTGGACTTATCTCGTCAAGGTGGTGGGAATTTAGGGGTTGGGAGGGGTGAAATGGGAGAGGGTCTCACGCACTGAGAAGCATTATCGAGAAGTTCTACATTTGCATTTTCTCCGTAATGTGGGGATGAAAAGTTTGCGACTATCATTGGTGATATATGCGATAATCTGGCGCGATTTACATTTTATTTAGGTAATTAAAAAAGGTGCAAAAAGACTCAAAGGGCAGTGCCCACTGCGCACTCCGCGCTCCCCCATGCACCCGATTGCGCACACCGAGATTTTCATCTGGGTGAGACACGTGGCCCTAATGCTTACAATTGATGCCATCTCAGTTGTCCATTTGCGCACGCAATAAAATTTCGAGTACATAAAACCCATAACTTGCGAGACTATTCGATCTAAAATTTTAAGCCTGGGAAGAAATACTAGGATTCTGTTCGCATGCGATTGGCATGTTTTCTCAATAAAGAGTCGTCTTACGGCCTTGAAATTCAGATTTTAATCACCCCCAACTTTTTCAAATTGTCAAATATCAGACACGTATAATACTTATTGAAACCAACTTGACCTACCCTATATTGGTCTTGTTTTTTTCTGGAGGTATGTCATTTGCTTGTAGTTTAGGTATGTATTATCTTCGATGTTTTCACATCACAATCATTAACTTTATGATCTTTTTATATTAGCAATAATATACATCATTACGGCAATCTATTTCGCACAAAAAGTATTCTAACTTCATAGAATGATGAGAATTATGTTCATGACTGTCATATTCTGAGACACATCCTGGACCCTGAATTTCAGTCACAAATCTATTTCACCCTTTGAGTAAAATTAAGCAATTGTATTCCGATTTCGAAAATTGTTTATATTTATTTGGAAATTTTCAAGGACAACCCTACCGCTACCTCTGCCATCCACTTCTTCTTAAGGAGAAAGTGATCCAAACTTCTGCACTCGGCATTCAAAAATAAATTCCGAACAGCGTCAATGAATATGAATTGCTGACAGGCATGTTCAAGTCGAAAAGTCTTCCATAAACGGGTAATTATGACAAAGCTATTCAGAGCAGGAACTCCCATGTTCTCATTGTGCGTGGTGATAAGGTTTCATTGAATAAAACTGATCACGTTTCACTAGTGCAGGGGTCTCAAACTCGCGGCGGCATGTAGGGCATTTCCATGCGAATGCGGCCCGCGGGCCTGGAATTTGAGACTCCTGCTATAGTGAGATAAGAAGTCCTCGTTGGAGATGTAGATACGAGGGATTTCTCAAAAGTTCTGCCAGTAGCCCCAAAGTAGCACTTTGCGGCCGCCTCCGATGACGACTTGTGGGCTACTGGCAGAACTTTTGAGAAATCCCTCGTACGTCGTGAGGCGTCTTCGATCTGATGATTCGCTTCGCTTCGCCGCAAAGAATCCAAGGAAGATATAATCTCATCTCTGTCAAGAAATGCGGAATGTGAATTCGACATTTCGTTTGGGATAGGAAAAGTAATAAATCAAAAGGATGAAAATCTCCATTTCAGGAAAGTACAGGGTAGTTATGAATAATTTTTAGCGCGTAATGTCTCAGAACCGGTATGACAGGAAGTTGAAATAGCAGGGGTGTTAGAAGGACCATGTGCTCAAAGATGCCATAGTTATCACATGTTGTAATCAGGGGTGCCCCTGTTACTGATTGTCACTTAGCACAGCAACTGTTCAATATGTGCTCCTTCAGTGCCCAGAATGCATAACGAATAAGTTTATTCAGGGAGACTGCAGTGTTATATTACTGTTAGGCTCTGTATCTGAGTCTTCTGGAACAGGTTCTAGTGGCACGTAGCGCACACACAAACAAAATCCATATAACCACATTCTGAGACCAAAATGCGGTTATATGGACTTGCTCTGAGGTTTTTCAGCTGAGTCAAGGACGGATAGGGTTTCCACTCCCAGATATGTGGATCATGTGGGAGTCCCGGATGTGTGAACCATGTGTGAATCAGCAAGACCCCTCTTCGAGGTCACGATGATTCACATATGAAGCATCAATAATCTAACCATGCAGGCAATAATTTCGTACACGGACGCATTGATCAATGAAATCGGGACCCATACTTCCTTACTCGTGCCGTTGGGGTTTACTATTGGTCTTAGAATGCAGTTATTTGGATTTTGTTTGTGTGTGCTGCGTACCACTTGGACCTGCTTCAGAAGACTCACAGATACAGAACCAAACAGTACTAAAACATTGCAGCCCCTCTGAAGAATATTTGTGATTAGTGAGAAATTAAGTCACAGTGGCATCCCTGATTACATGTGATCTATTTGAACTATGGCATCTTTGAGCACATGGTCCACATAACATTCCTGTGCAATTCCAACTTCCTGTCACCCCGTTTCTGAGATATTATGGGCTTAAGTGCGGAAGTTTCTTCATAATCCCCCTGTATTATCCTTTTGATTCCGTCTTCTTATGCTACGAATGTCTCTCTTTTGCATATGAAGACGCAGCTGAGAACATTGTGATTTCCACCCACTGCACTATTGGGTCCAGGCTTCCTGTTAAGTCAACATTATAATGGAAATACAGTCGAACTCGGTTATAACGTCATCGAAGGGACCGGGTAAAAACCGTCGTTATAACCGAGGTTGCCATTATTGGCATTCCGTTTTCCTGTTTTCAAAATTGATGCTATATATTAACGTTACAACTCCAGTTTACATTGGTCATGCTGCACTAGCTTCAGTTTCAAGATTGACCCACTAATCGTGATGTTCGCACTTCTTTGGACCTTGAACTTCTTCATACTTTAGCAAGGCTTCGTCGATGTCATCTCGACAGATCTAGGAAGTTCCTTGTTTTGTGACATGTTCTCGTAAGCATGGATGAAGCTGTCACGATTTTCCCAAATTGTGGAAACGGATGAACAGATGTCCGTGTTCGCGCGCGACGTTAGCTTCACTTCGAGCTTTTTCTAATTAAACTAACCAAGCACACTTTCCTTTCGATCGTGAAGGCTTGCTTCTTTCGTTTTCCATTGGCCATGTTGTCAACGAGAAATGCAAATGGCGAATGAAGACGAGGTGATCTTAGTTACTGGGGATTATCCCTCCCTAACATTGCTCCAGCCACACCCACATGACTCTCAAGGAATGCCGAATCCAGGAAATATTAAGGTATGGCTCGCCAACGCTAATTTTTTCCGATGACGGAAATTTCAGTTAAGAATGACGGATTAGGGACATGAACGTTGTCGATTTCTTCAGTGGGACCTTCAATGGACTTCGTTNTTAGGGACATGAACGTTGTCGATTTCTTCAGTGGGACCTTCAATGGACTTCGTTATAACCGAGGTTTCGTTATAACCGAGGTTTCGTTATAACCGAGTTCGCTATAACCGAGGTAAAATGTAACGTGCCTCATGGGCTCTACGTCGGGACCTGGCGCTTTCGTTGTTATAACCGAGGTTTTGTTATAACCGAGGTCGTTATAACAGAGTTCGACTGTATTTGAAATTGAGTCGCACATCCCCAGCCCCATGTTGAGTGTTGAATGCAGTTACCTTGGTTTTGAATAATTATTTCCATCCAAACCTAGGTGTAAGATGTTTTGCGAAGCAACCATTTTGGGTTGTTCGTGAAGAAATTTTTTTGCTTTTTCCCCTAGGAACTCCATCTGGTCTGCTAATAATGATAAAGGGACGGAAGTATGTACGATAGCTCCATCTGCCTGAAAATGCGGGTTCACAGGGAGACTCTCCCCCTTTTCTCTCTGCATCCACTCCACTCGAGGATGGATGGATGGATTTCTCACAGGGAGAATCCTATATAATGGATGGCTTAGAGCGGGCAGATGGAAGTCAGATCGAGTGTGTTTGAATAGGATTGGTGAGGAGAGAAAGAGAGGAGAGAAGGTGCACCCTTGCCACAGGTGTCTTCTCTCCCATCCATGGGGTGTAGATTGTCCCTCGACCCTAGGGTGTCCCAAGTCTCTTTTATCCGCCCCCCTCCCTCATCATCAATCTCTGCTCCTCCTTCGTTTCCGTTCTTTTTCTCTTCAAGCATTCGCTCATTTCATTAGCATCTTTTCATAAGTGTTCTGCGTGTTATTCTTTTTAATGTGAAACGGGAGACATCCTTGGATTTCATTGGTAGATTTCTTGGAAACGGTAGAATGTCAGAAGGGAGAGGGATGCGTTGAAAATTGCATGCAAATTCCATGCAGATTGGAGCAAACAAGAGAACAGCGAAGAGGAGAGGAATATCCCCCATTTCATTGCGGAGGCACGCTGCATTATGCAGACCCCTGCATGCGTGGATGCATGTGTACCAAAGGACGAGGGAGAAAAAAATAATGCGTTCTATCAAATTTCGTATCCATGACTTCCCAGTGCAACAGGTTTCATTGTGAAGCAGGAGCATGTAGGATGAAGGGGGGAATCTCTGGAGAACAGGGAAGAACCAAAGAGACTCACAAACCATGATTAAACATTCTGCTCCCCCATTACTATCTCTCTTCCCCTACCCACCTTTTTTTTATCCTGTGGATTTCTTTATGGGATTTGCGCTGGGGTTCCTAGGATTTAAAGAGTTATGTGAAAAAAAAGAACAATGTCGAATCTGGTTTGAAATAGTGAAATGGTAGCATATCTTCACTTGTAATTCGGAACTATGATTGAAAATAAATGAGCTTAAGTTTTTCAGTATTAAAATTGAAAAATAAAAATTGAAACTTCGTTTTTAAAAGTATAAGTCAACATTATTAGCTTCAACCTATAAAATACATAAAAACAATAGGTCATGGAAAGGAAACCAGGCAGACCGAGCCATTTCCGAGTTCCCATATCGCTGGTACTCCACTTTCTAAGATAACCAATATCTGAGGATATATTTTTTATATGTATTTTGTCGGATTTCTTTTTGTGCTGACTAATCCATGTATGGTGTATGCACGTGCCAGTTATCTGGTGTCTGTAGGAGTGGTGGAGAAGATAGCCCAGTGCTTGGGGTCTATCCGAGATCCGATCCCAGAAGAAGATTGTCATTCCCATTCCCATTCCCAAAGCCAAGGAATCTTAGAATTCCTCAACCAAGCCCTCGCCTTCCTCTCCGCCATCGTTGGTTTGTCCTCTGGTCTCCCCCAAACGAGACCATTTTTCCAGAGCTCAGGATTCATGACCAGGTGATTTGACAGGGACGCTGGCGTGCCGGAGCCCTATCCAGAGCCTGGGGAAGAGGCCAGGGGACCCGACTCAGTTATTGGCAACTCTGGAGGTCACGGAATTGGCTGGGACGGTGTCCATGCTGTACGGCATGTTGTTGTACCAGGGTGAGCCACCGTCAAAGGGAAGGACTCCACCTCCACCGTTGGGAGAATCCATTCTCGCCATCATTGGAAGTGTCGTATCCTTCCTCGTCTCCGCTGCTCAGGCCGATACCCTCCTCCTTCAAGTAAGTTTTATCTCATGCCATCTTTTATTTTCTTTGCCCTTTGCGAATGGATGAAGAAAGAGCTGAATTGGTTTAGACGATCCTGGGTAGCGAAGGGATGAGCCTGGAATTCCGTCATATCTCCTCCTACCTGTTGTGGTACTTCACTCACTGGGAAGAAAAGGATCTCCTTCATCAACTCATCTCTCTGATCGGCTACTTCACCGTCCACCATCTGGACAATCAGGTAAGCCAATCAGCAGTTCAGTGCTACAAGATGTGGGAGCGACCGACAATCAGTTCTAGAGGACTTGATTTGCAATCGTTTCTGGATCTCAAGATTGGTGACCTTTTCCGTATGAACCACTTGATTCTGACGATCACATGAGAGTATTTCGCCATTGCTCATGAGCTATTTCTTTTGCGCTTGTAAAGCAAGGATCCTATAACATTTTCCGAACTTGAGGACTCTTTGTCTTACTTTCATGTCATCTCTCACTTGTCTTCGCCATCTTTGTTGAGGCAATTTTAGTTAGTGAGTATCCCGGAAAAATGCGGAGGATGTTGAAAAGGACGCAAAACAGATATGCGTGATTCACACAATTGCTCATTACACACATTGCGCAACGTCTTGCTCCCGAATGCACAAAAAAGGCACAATTACGTACTTCATGAAAGTGGCAAAATCAGTGCCTATTGCGTGCATTCTCCTTGCTTTTTTTCACGCAATGGGAAAGTGGAGTTTCAGGAAAATATTTTTTTTGTCAACCATGAACACTCATTCCACTCTTGTGCTGCCGGTCGTATATGCTTGCCTTTTGCATCTGACCTCATCAAATTGTGGCATGTTCCTGTTAATTTTGAAATTTAAGAGGACTAACGCGCCAAAGGTTTCCTAAGCTGGAGTTCAGGTCACGTTTCCAATCCAAAGTGATTTAAGCATACCCAACAGAAAAAGGGTCATGGTGAAATTAAAGTTAAGTCTAAATAAAATAATTATAAATCTAAATTTAGAGCTATAAGACCGAAGCATGAGACCTCGAGTTTACCTCGAACCTTTCGAGAAAACTAACGTTCATTTAGGAAAAGTCATACTAAAATGGAATTGGTTTAGAAACTTGTCCAAGCCGTACCTGTTTTTCAGTGATAATTTGCGTAGTCAACGCAGGGAATTTCGTGTGAGAGCAAGAACGACAGAACATTTCCATTGAAATATTCTCTAAGTTCAGTGCCGGATTAAGGGGGGGGGGGGGAAGGAGAGAAGACGAAGGGGGTTGTTGCACAGGGTCCCATATTTCCAGGGGGCTCCCAAAGGAAATAAAGAGCGTCTAGTATTTGCGTTAAGTAGCAGATGTTACAAATCGAAATTTGCACCATCAGCGCTCGACTGTGTGACTCTTCCAGGCTACTAGCACCACGAGGAAAATTTATTGGGGGAAGGGGGGGGGAGGAAGGGAAGAATCCGTTTCCTGGGCCTCGCAACTTCTTAATCCGGCCCTGACTAAGTGCGGAATCCTTTTGCATCCCGAAGATGTACCGTACTTTTCGGCTCTCTGTCCAGATTCAAAAGTCTCTTCGTTTTCATAGAGGTGGTTTTCGGGAATAGCACCTGCAAGGTTGTTAAAGAGGCTGATCACCTGCGAACGTGACTCACGATGAAAATTTCTTGACGATCGCTATTGAAATCGCATCGCCATTGTAGGTAGCGCTGGGAACCTATAAAGTAATATATTGCTATGTTGTGACCTGTCAGCATAACCTACCTTTCACGTGATAGTCTTGTGTTTCTTGAACTGTGTGATCTGAAATGTTCAAATCTACTTTGGCTTACTGTGAATGAAATGAACATGACTCATGCTCAAAAATAAGCAGCAATCGAAGCCGTTTGCTTCCATTTTGCGACAAGGTTGCTTATTTAATGCAATAAGAACGGTTGTTTACTTCATGAATTGACTAAAAAAAAAAAAAAAGTTACAAAATGCGCACAGTGAGCAATGCACAGATCACGCGTAACATACAGTATATACAAAAATACTTAGATGAAACTTTCGGAGGCTAAGAAAAAAAGATCTCAAATAAAAATTGGGAAAAATATGCCCTGGAAAAGAGCAGTCTGAGGAAGGGAGGACTTGTCGTGAGCCACGTGAGGTGAGGAAGAAGGAAGTCTGAGAGACGGCGGCACGTGGTGGTGATCGGACGGCGCCGTCCCCGTCTTCTTCGTGACTCCCTTGTATGGCTTTTCCCTGTCGCTTCCTCCTTGTTTACTTCCCCACGTGCCTCACTTACGTCTTCCTAGCGTTCATTCCCTCCCGGACTTGCATGGAAAATTCTCTTCATACCACACGTTCTCCCTCTCTAGTCCTGACCTCCATTATCAAGTTCATTTCGAACTATGCAAAATGAGTGGAGAAAGATGCATAAATCTACTAATAGGCGTAGGACAAACAGGCGAAAACCGCAGAGAATCAGAGGTTCTTTAGGGTGGGATACTAATTAAGAAATGTTTATGCAATTTGAAATAAAAAGGCTATATTCCCTGATCGAATGTAATTTGCTCTGACGAATAGTTATGATAGTTATTATGTACATTTTTTCACGTCTGTTCTGGTTACATAGGAACGTGGGTATGCGGGAAATTCCCCATTATGACTCAGATCGTGAACCTTTTCTTTTTATAATGACGAACTCGTGTACAGGAGCACGCGTCTATGTTCTACGTTCCTGGGGGGGGGGGGGGGGGGGGGGGGAAAGAAGAAGAGAAGAGAGGACACGACCTGGGAACCGGAGGAATGAAAAGAATGCGCCTTTTCACATGGTCATTAGGCCTATGAAACATGGAACGTAGAACATAGACGCGTGCTCCTGTACACGAGTTCGTCATTATAAAAAGAAAAGGTTCACGATCTGAGTCATAATGGGGAATTTCCCGCATACCCACGTTCCTATGTAACCAGAACAGACGTTTGGATCCCTGCAGGTCATGGTGATTGCATTTTGCATTTGCTAAGTCCAATCTACCATTCATTCGAGTTCCGCTCTGCTGCCGAGAACGAGAAAGAACCATCCATTTTCTATTTTTTCCATATTTAGTATATCCCAGAGAGGATTTTTTTTGTTTAGATATTTATAACTTTCCTCGATGAAGAGAAGACACCGTGACGATGGGAAACATATGGGTCTCGGCAGGAATGAATTGATGATGAAGAGGACCAGAATGAGGAAATTATGGTGACCCTTAGCGTTCAAAATAATGATATGACGATGTTTCACCGGAAAGGTGATGTTGATGATGCCTGGACCCGTCAAAATACATCGGACATCTGACGTAATCGATTAAAAGGGGATACGTTATCGTCACGCCTAGGTGATGATATACTTTAGGGTACTCGGAGTCAGTACTTGGGGTGCTGGGTGCATTCACGTTTCGCTACGAATCTATCGATACCCCATTTGTTGAAGTTGATCAGTTTGTTTTCCCCCTATTTCCCTCTGCATAATTTGGAGGGTAAGTACTTCGTCGTACCTTTCAGTAATGAATCAACACTTGAGAAAGTACTCAAAGGAACATGCCCAGGGCGAGGCAAGTTCATCGGTACCCTATGTGTCGAAGTCGATGGTAAAGCTTCAGCTCTAGCTTGTCGTGCATGTTCGGTCGCTAGAATATCCCTAACTGCGTTCTCCCAGATCTCCAGATACTCAATAAAAAAAGATGAGACTTCTGCGTGATCTCGCTTCGCTTGAGTGACTAGGATCAGGAATCATTCCCATTCCTAAAATTGGAACTATGCGTGTAAAGCGGAGTGTAGTCACGGTTTTGGAGAGCTAGAAGTGGGAAATTTTTATAATTGCCATTATTTTGCCGCATTCTCCAGACTCCAGTCACCGTGACTTCTACGTTTCCAGTCACGAAGGACGAGCTTCGGGGAGAATGCTGTGACAGGCCAGATGAAGTCAATTCAGCAGCGACCATGGCGTATAAGGGCGGAAGAACGGGCTCTCAGAAGAGCCGAAATAGATCGCGGAGCTCTTGGCCAAGTATCCGATTCAACTTTAACCTTCATCCGGGCAAGGGGAGTCCATTGGACTCCCCAGTGTATATTTCATTGCACTTTCTGGCAGTTTTTTCAATCATTCTTACAAATATGTGTCTTTCATAGACAGTCATTCAGAGTTCTTTTTTAAATTTTGATTTGCCTTTAACAAGATTCTTAACATGTTTGCCCTTGCCCCTTGCCCACTTGTCACAAAAATACCTTGCCCGGATAAGGGTTAAGCAAAAACGCAATCGTGCTACCAAATTGAGTCTTTGAGTACAGCAGATGGGATGATAGAACCTTTATATCACCCCGCGTATATTTCCTGATTTAACGATACCAGACAATGTCTAAATCGGATTAGCACATGTTTGCCCTGCATTTTTACGTAATTGCTGAAATTGAGCCTAATGCCTGAGGTTACATTTTTTCCCACAGTGAGCTAAAACAGTTGATTAAAGAAATTTCGCTTCTGGTCTGAGCCTGTCCAGCGTGTTTTTGATGGCCAGCTTTCTCTCTAGACAAGGAGATCAGGAGAAAGAAAGTGGAGAATCTCAAAAGACATTAGACTAGTCTCTCGTGAATGGATAGTATCTGGCGATGATGATGCCGATGATGCAAGGCACGTGGATAGGAGCAGTCACGAAACATGGCCCTTGTCATGGCAGTATCTCGAACACAACACACGAGGAATTGTGGTTTTTTTTCTTTCTTCTTCGGCTTTCTTCCCTTGTCCTGGAATGGGTGGTCCTGTATAAGAGGAATGGAAGGAGGGAGAAGAGAGGGAGGGAATGGAGGAACACGAGAAGCCCATTCCCTCCCCCTTCTGTCTATACATGACTGTATCTCTCCGTCCTCCTTCGCCCCGATATCGATCGCCAGCGAAGTATAAGTATCCTTTTCTTCCCTCTTCCCTTTCGTGGTGGGTGTGGCACTGGCGCCATATACTCGTATGCGTACCTGGGTGGTCCACTCTCCGATGCTTCATGGCTCTGGCTCTCAGTTAGGAGTCAGGACATGCGGCTCCAGTCGAGTGGGTACTGAAGGAAAGGAAGGAAAGAATGAAAGTAAACCTGGCTTAGATGGTGATTGGTGGTTGTTGCAGTTGTTGGTGCAGAGCGGGCAGCAGCCGAGCGTTTTGCAGCAATTGGCCACGTTACCGTTGGCGTACTTCACGGATTCAGATCTGACTCGGATCCTATTTCCGACTCTCATCGCAGCCTCCTATTCCAATCCCGAGAACACCGCCGTTCTACAACAGGAAATCAACCCGCAGGTGCCTGCCTGCTCCTCTCGCCTCCATGGCTTCCTCTCTTGGTTGGGAATATAAGGAAAAATAATATTTTCCTCCTTCCAGCTGTTGGAGGAGTTCCTGGAATCCCCAGAGGCACAGGGGATCCACTTGATCCAGCTACTCAAATCTGGGATCTCCAAACACTAATGTCTTCAATGCTATGCACGCTCTATTCTCTCTAGTTTTCTCCCCATCGGCTACCTTTTCACAAGTGCCTCACTCGAGTCTGTGATATTTACACCAGAGCCCACTCACCCCCTCTTCAAATAAGTTGGATTCCTTTTGAAATAACTTTGTACTGTCAGGACACTCATGCCTAAACTTAATTAATTTGGAGTAGTCGTGCACTTCTCGCCGCTTGTTCTGCTATACTGGAGAATAAAATATTGCCATATTTTGGATGATTCGTCGATGCGATGAATTTTATTTATATGTGCTGGGATTGTGTGTGGATTGGGGGGGTGGAAGTGGAATAAAGAGCGTGCTGTGATGATGAGAAGACTGAGGGGGAGAGAATGGCCGTCGCGTGTGTCAGGGCATCTCAATCGAGGAAGGGATACTGCCTAGTGGAGATAATGCGATTATGTCTCAGGCCCTGGTCCAGCCATGCATTTCCCTTCTTCAACAGTGGTCGACGATCCAGAACCACCCGGGGGTCGGTCTGAACAACACCAATTACCCTGCGCGATCCGAAGGGTGGAATCGACGTCGACTTTCAGTGATGGGGCGTTGAAGACAGGCGTGTAGGCATATATATTAGATGGAGGAACAGAGAGAGTGGGTATGATTGACCCGGGAATGAAATCTCTCTTTCCTCTCCAGTCTGGATGAGAGCCGCCTCCATTAGCTGATTGAATGAGCCCTGGGTGCCCCAGATCGCATTCATTGATTCACACGAAGAGCAAGGACGACGAAACGAGGTTTGGTTCAGGCGAAAAGGAGATTGGAGTAAAAATCTGGCCGAGCTTTTTTTTCGTGTCTTCTTTCGAGTAAAAAAAAGGAATACACTTCTATTTTGTAATTATGTAGAAATGTGAAAAACTGTGAGTTCCCGCTTTGGGCTCGCGATCCAATGTGCATCATGGTGAAAACGACAGCATGGCGTCTTATCATGGGAACATTTTATGGAATAAATATTTTACTTCTCCAAAATTTACATATTTGGCAACTTCTTTTCCATCCTCGAATGTGTAGGTTTATGACATATAGGCCTTGCATGACTGCATTTGCACGGGAAGGAGATAAAAGAGAACATAAATTGCATGATGGAGATATTTTGGATGGTTCAGATTCTCGCAATCCTATCGGACTTGCATGGATTCATGCCCGAAAAAAAATTTATGAGCACGTACGAAACTTGAATGAATTCCCCATCCGTCTCAACCCTGGGACCAGAGGATCTAATGTGAAGAGCATTACGGACCCACACCTGCCTAGTTTCCTTGAATCCTCCTTCCTAACCCCCATCCCCCAAACACACACACACCCTTTTACTTTCTCAAGAACTGCAAAATATCCGTTGAAGTCTTCAACGTCATTCGCAGACTGACACCTAACATTTTGCACAATTAGCAAATCTCGTAGTAACCTGTTCAAGGCTTCGACAAACGCTTCTGAGGTTGAGGATGAGTGAAGTAGGCCAACTCCTCTTAGGGATAGATCTTTTTTGTGGAAGCATGAGCCACCTACTGCCTCGTCTCTTTCAGCCACGCTGCTCCCTTTTTTTGTTTTGGCCATGAAGGTATCTCGCCACTTAAAGCCAGGCTTACGAAAGCGTAGCAAGAAAAAACTGGGATTAGCGTGAATTCCGTGCCAAAAGCTGACCTTTTATCGATATTAGCACATAGATGGACAGTGGGTGTCGAACGGGGCTGCTGGATCTGCCGTTCCTCCCATCACTGTCGTGCTGCAACACTCTCCGGATCGTCGTCGAAAAATCGCACCCGATCGAGACGAACGAATGGTGGCAGTGGGAATCCAGAATGCGATCGTATTTCGCGCAAGGAGGAGAAGAAGAAAAATTAAGCTCCCCTTAGATATGTAGAGGTTATTGGAGCACCCGGTGGTGCGTGGTACTCCTGACCCCTCGTTTGACTCCCGCTGCACCTCGGAGTTGCCCGGGATTGACCACCCTCCAGGCTCTTCATTTCCCTCCTCTCATCTCTTTTTTTCTCTCTATCCCCCCTCCTTGTCTGTCTGTCTGTGTGTCCGTCTCTCTCTCTCTCACATGAGCCTCGACTGAAATTGAAAGTATGCACGAGATTGCTGCAGCTCCTTGATCTCCAGATTGACGTAGAGGGGAAAGGGGTGGAACCGGATCCTTACCTCGAAGGAGGAGAATATAGGGGCCGCGTACTGTCGTACATGCGGCATGCAAAGCGGGGGGTTTTGACAGGAGTCACGGAAGCATTCGCAGAGTGGCACGGAAGCATGGCATGGCCATGGTATGAGCCATGCCAACCTTATCACTCCATTCATCGTCCGCGGTCCAGATTATCTCCCTCATTATTTCCCCTCCTGCCCTCCAGACGCAGTCAATCATTTCCCGACTGTGTTTTGCACTGCACGGACGGTAATAAAGGGTCCCGTGCCGGATTAGTTAGGGAACTACGAAGAGAATGCGTACGATTCCGTCTCCGATTCGGTCCCAATTTTTTCATCTGGCACGGGAATCGGTAACGGGTGCCGACTTTGAGATGCACCAGGAAGGTGGCATATGTGCGAGCATCAGATAAGGTCTAAGTCTAAACGGATTATCCGGCGGCGGATGGTACTTAGAAAGAGAGAGAGGAGATCGATGAAATGGCACCTTTGAGCGAGAGGAGACAGATTTTCCCTTTTTCCTATCCCCCAAGGGGGGGGGAGGGGGGGAGGAGGAGGAGAGCCATCTGTGTCGGAAGATCCTGCTCTCTGATAACTCCAGGACTTCCCTATTCTACGCCATCTGCCATTCCTCCCGTGCAAAAATGCGCACTCATTGTTTTTTGCGACACGTGCATGGACACCCCCACTTTACCGAACGGCCACTTATGGTAAATACGGGACGGACGAGGAGCGAATCCCTGCGGGGACGAGGAGATCCGGCAGAAAACGGTCGGACGGCCGGAGAAAAAGCTCGTCTGGGGATCGGGGAGGAAAAGCAGCTGTGCTTGCGGGAAAGACGCGAGGGCTCCGGTGCATCGACAGTAGATGACGTTGTGTGTGGCCTCATGAAGGGCCTTCATCCAAAATCAACAAACACCCGGGTCGAAATGCATGCAGCCCACACAGCGCAAAGGCAAACCCAATCCCCTTCAGCCTGTGCGCCTTTTTAACCTCTCGGAAACCGCAGATCGGCCACACATTGCAGACTCGTTTGCTCTCGTGCCCACGTGCTGTTTTTCGCTTTCGGGCCCGGACGCCACCGCGATGCGAACGCGAGAGGAGCTCGTCCGGTCGCGGAAGCCTCCGCGATCGCGCGTTCTCGCGGCGATCGATGGGAGACTCCCCTCGAAGATCGTCCGTGGGCGTCGCGAGATCGACTTTCCCGACTGAGTGTTTTTTATTTCTTCGGTCGGAAGTCCGAGGCAGACCGGAGAAAATGAGAGTCTCTCCGGCAGAGCTCCCATGCGTGGATGCCTCGTGGATCGAGGAAACGCGTCCGGGCGACCGGCCCGTAGTACTCCAAACGAACGCCTCGAAGAGGCCAAAAGAACGTCGCGAATGATCGTTGGCGTTGGGGGGATGGGGGTTAGGAAGGAGGATTCAAGGAAACTAGGCAGGTGTGGGTCCGTAATGCTCTTCACATTAGATCCTCTGGTCCCAGGGTTGAGACGGATGGGGAATTCATT